GTGCCCCGGAGTGCGTGCTGCTAGAAAATCAATGATGATGATAACGGCGAGAGCGGTGAAGGTAGAAAGGTGTTTAAACTAAAGCCCCTTGATCACCGTGCCCCTGATGAAAACGTTTGTGTTGTGTGTATGTTTATAAAAAAATCACCCTTTCCGAAAGTCCATCTAGCCACCCTGTGCAGAGCCAAACCCAACGCTCTTATGGCGGCACTACAAAGCTTCTACACACCAGAAAAAGCGAGCGTTTCGAAAATATAAAGAAGAAAGGGGAAAAGGTTTGTGTCCTTTAACGTCACCTTCGATTCACGAAATGTAGGGTGCCTGATTTTGCCGAACATGAACTCTTAAGCCTGGTTCAGACAGTTGCGTTTGACTCCGTTCGACTGCGTTGCGGCTACGAGAAACCAGGACATCCCTGCTGCTTATATCGCGTGCCAAGATGATTCCTTGAATTGGATTCCATGCTTCGTACGAAGCACAGATGTGCCGGTGACTCACTTTTAGTACTCGACTCAATGAAGTCAAAAGCACTCAAACGCACTCAAACGCAAGTGTCTGAACCGGCCTTTACGACAGACATTAGAGTGGCAATAAGGCGACACTGACTTTTGAAAAGGGTCCATTGCAAGCATGGCGGCCTGACTGGTGCTTCATGCTATGCCCCATGCGTGTAAGCACGTGAATCCTCCGCGTGGACGATAGCTTTGACCATGAGCCTGGCAGTTCGATGACGGAGCCATAGTGTGCCCGGGCGCTGATTTGGAGAGCGAGGATCTGGTAGCACAGAGCATTTCTCGGGGAGTCTGGTAAAGGGGTATTCACACGAGGGAGAAATCCCGGGGATTTCTCCCCGGCACGCGCGCATCACGAGATAAAAACGCGAGGCTTTTGCACATCGCAAAGCCTGACGTCTTCGTCGTGGGATGCGCGTGCCGGGGAGATATCCCCGGGATTTCTCCCTCGTGTGAATACCTCTTAACCAACGCACAGCTTTTGCAGCGGCGAGGACCCGAAATATGGTTTTGAAAACCAACGAGAAAAGAAGCGGTACCCCGAGAAACGCGAGAGGCACGAGCAGACATCCCATCGCTGGGGACCATGGCCTCCGAGATCCCGAAGCGCGCGAACCCATAGGAGAGGGCACGTTGCAATATTGGTGAAGCCTAGTCATAAAACGTTTAAACGATGAAGTTTAAACTTGAGCCCAAGACAAAAAAAAAAGAACAGAAGATAGCACTAGAGCGTCGCGGACGTCGATGGCGGCGTAACAGCAGGATCGAACGCTGGGCGAGACTGACTCCGGTTCGTCACGCGGAGCACCTTTTGTACCCGCGTGTGTCTCTGACATTCAGCCCGCTGAACATTTGGCGCTTGGAACATTCGGAACTCAATCAAACGAGAATGTTCTCGAACTTACGAGAACGCCAAGGTGAAAGAATAAATAAAAAGGCATTCGCTAACTGGAGTTCGCGCGACAGTCAAGCACGGTAACCATTCGGCAACTCACGCGCTCGCTCAGCGACGCGCGTGGCATTACTCCCCCCTTTAAAAGTCTCGATGCGACGTGCTGTGAAACCAAACCGCAAAACAAACAAAAATAATGGCAAACTACGTAGATTTGTGCAACGCAATCCTATCGAGCGTATTACAAAACACAATTCACAGTCCTATCGATCGTAGTACGGCTTGAGGCGTATAGCGTGGACGACTTCCGGTCGTGGAGGGCGGCGTGACGTCCGTGTTCCGTCGGGCATCACCTCATAGTTCAGATCCCCGATTCGACGAAGCACTTTTTAGGCTCCAAAGTAGCGCTTCAGAAGTTCCTCGCCAAGACCACGGCGGCGAATCGGTGTCCACACCCACACCCGGTCTCCGGGCTGGAAGTGAACGTCCCGACGACGAAGGTTGTAGCGGCCAGTGTCGACGGACTTCTTCTGCCCGTTGGGCAACCACCTGGGCGTCGTCGCCTCCGCCGACAGCCGGTTCGTGGGGTAACATCGCGTCCAGCATTGTATTTACCTTGCGACCATGCACCAGTTGAAAGGGTGTTACCCTGGTGGTCCCTTGTACGGCCGTGTTGTAGGCACATTTGACGTACGGCAGCACCTCGTCCCCACGTCTTGTGCTCCATGTGGACGTATACGTGGAGATCATGTCCGCGATGGTCTTGTTGAGTGTCTCCGTCAGCCGTTGGTCTCCGGGTGGTACGCAGTGGTGCGACGAGGGCTGGTGTGGCTGAGACGAAGGATTTCTTGCGTCAGCTGGGACATGAATGATGATCCTCGGTCTGAGATCAGAAACTTGGGAGCGCCGTGCCGGAGGACGATAAACTCGGCGACTTCCACAGCAGTCCCTCAAGGAAGGGCTCTCGTTTCGGCGTACCGGGTGAGATAATCTGTGCCGACTATTATCCATCTGTTTTCTTGCGTCGATGGTGGGAAAGGACCAAGCAGATCCATTCCGATCTGCTGGAACGGTGCGCTTGAGGGAGCAATCGGCTGCAGGAGACTTACCGGCTTTGTCGGCGGTTTTTTGCGTCGCTGGCACTCGGGGCACGATCGTGTGTAGAGCTGAACGGTTTTCGGGAGCTTGGGCCAGTAATACCTTTCACGAATTCGGGCCAGCGTACGGCTGTAACCGGGGCGTCCAAACGTCGGGTCGTCGTGGCAGGCTTGGGAGATCTCCTCTCGAAGGTCAGTAGGAATTACCAGCATCCATAGCGCGATGTTGTCTACAAAGTTTTCCTTGTAAAGTACACCTTGTCGGAGGACGAAGGTCGGCAGGGCTATCGAGAAGACACGGGGGATTGTAACCCCTCGTCCTTCGAGGTGCTCGATTAGCGCCTCGAAGGATTAGCGCCTCAGGGTCGTCCGTTTGACGTCGTGCCATGTCGTCGATGTTCACTGCGCCAAGGAAGCACTTGTCGTCATCGTCGTCGCTGCTACCGGGAGATGTCTCGACAGGGGCTCTAAAGAGGCAGTCGGCGTCGCTCTGCTTGTTGTCTGACTTGTAGACCATAGCCATGTTAATCTCCTGCAGTCAGAGGCTTCATCGAGCGAGGCGTCCTGAAGGGTCCTTTAGGTTTGCCAGCCAGCAGAGCGAGTGGTGGTCCGTGATAATGCGGAACGGGATCCCGTACAGGTACGGGCGGAACTTGGTTAGCGCCAAGACGACATAAAGACACTCCTTGTCGGTCGTTGAGTAATGTTGCCCTGCCTTAGACAGTGCCCGGCTTGGTGAGCGATGGCTCTCTCGGTGCCTTTTCGCACTTGAACCAGTACCGTGCCAAGTTCAGCGTTACATCCGTCCGTATGAATCTCGGTTTCCGCATCTTGATCGAAGTGTTCAAGAACCGAAGGAGTTTGGAGTTGTCGTTTCAGCTCGTCGAATGTTGCTCCTCGGCCCATTCGAACCTTTGGGGGTCCTTTGTGAGGTTTGTGAGTGGTACGGAAATCCCTGCGAAATTACGAACGAAGCGCTGATAGTACGCACATAGTGCAAGGAATCTTCGCACGGCCTTCTTGTCTGTCGGCGCTGGCGATGCCGCGACGGCGCGAGTCTTCTCTGGGTCTGGGCGAACGCCATCATTGCTAACCACGTGGCCTCAGAACTTCAGTTCGCAAGCCTGCCGAAGGTATACCATCGCGTGCATGCTGCTCGTGCGTGTTTGATGCTTGTCGGTGTCGGTTGTCTATATTCGTCACTCTAGTGGGACTCGGGTTTCAATGAAAGTGCGTGACCCGCTTCCATCTGTGTCCCACGTTGGTCTTCTTTCGGTGACGTCAAAACTTGAGCACTGTGTCTCGGTTATCTGGGCCCGTTTTCTCGAACGCAAATCGTGGGTTAAAGTTAACTATTGTCCCTAGAAGGGGGAATTCTAGGTCACGTGACTAGAGAGCAGGGGCGCCGAGGGAGGAGAAGTACCTACAAGCAAAATGGCCGCGACGTCGCTTAATGAGGACTAATAGTTCTGCTTGGTTCTGCTGAACATTCATTTCGATCCGGCTGTTATATTAATGACGCACCATCAACCTATTAGCACGTCAAGCAAAGCGGAAGTTCAGAGGGACTACTAAACTAACCGACGGCAGCGTTCCGCGAACGCATTGCTCTTCAGCAGTCCGGGATCCAAGACATAAGCCTTGCAAGTGTTTTTATGGTCAGTAAAAAAATGTTTTGCGAACGAGTGTTGGTATATATTTATGCTAACACGTTTAATTTGTTACACTATGCACGCCAACTCTTGAGCAGCGATTACTTTGCGGAGAAAGGGGGTTGTTCTCGATAAAGTCTGCGTTCCGGGTGAACAGCTGGGACATTGTACTGTTTTTTGTTTTTTCTTTGTTCGCAGTGCGCCGACAGTATGCCGACAGCATCGAGGTTTCTACATATCCCCGGTGGCCAGCAATTCAACGCTGACGAGAAGCTTAGCTTCTCGTCACCGGTGGATCGGCTGGGCAAACGGAAGAGAAGGCAAATAGTTGAGATCAGCAGGAATCGCAGAAACGTGCGTCGCAAGGAACAAAAACGAGACTACAGCACCGGCGTTGCCAGGCTGGAAGGAACACGGGAAAGTTATGCGTTGTTTATGGCGAAACATATTGAAGGAAATGTTTCTTACATTCTCGAATATTCGTCGACAAACTCTAGTATAGTAGCTGAAATTTCTTCGTACTATCTGAAGCAAATAAATTGGTCTTCAAGTGCAACATGATTATATTTTGACTTAAAATGCCATACTAGGTCGATAACAACCAGCGGAAAAAGAGGATAAACAAAATGACTGGCTTGTTTCACCGATAGATGGCGCATGTTACTGCCCAATCAAAAATAATTATTGTTGTTCTATATCCAGCTGTTTATTACAGTACCTAGGTACTTTTTTCTTCTTAGGCACCGCGGTTTACCAAAATGGGTTTACCATGGATTTTGGTAAACCCATGGTAAATCCATGGGTTTACCATGGATTTACCAAAATGGGATTACCAAAATTCCGAGTATCACGGCAGCGCGGCATAGAGCACTTTTTGCTTCTTGGCTTTGCTCCTCCACTTATGTTTTGGCTGAGGAGGTGATTTCATATGCCACATTTCCTTGAAAGCGGCCGGCTGGATGGTGTCCGCAGGTGGCAACGGGAGCGCTTCTGGCAGTAGTGTGACAAGCAGACTAAAAATAAACAAGCTGGTCTCGGATATTACCATCGGTAGAACTTGGCTTACCAAGGGACCAAACTTGAAAGCATCGTTGATTACCGACGCCGTCATATTCCCGATCTTACCACACACGAACGCTGCTGACAAGGCCATGCAACGTAGTGCCGTCGGGTAGAACGCGACCGTGTAGACAAACAGGGTCACGAACAGGGTATTCAGAGTCACCATGGCGGCGACATTGACTATTCCAATCTCAAGAGTGCTGTCGACGTATGTCAGTACTCCCTGTGCCAGCGCCAGAACCGATACCAGTAGATAATACAGTGAGAGCATTCCGCGCCGCCCCAATATCTGTATGGCGTAGTAATTCAACACCATGACGGGCACGCTCATTATCCAGATGACAGCTTGGACGGCTACGTTTTTCAACAGCACTTGCGTGTCGATGATATTGATGAAGGTGCTGAACTCGACGGACCACCAACCGAAGACTAAGGCGGAGCGTGTACGTATGGACTTGGAGCAAGCGATGTCGAATACGGACGGCTTGGCGCTTAATCCCAGCTGGGACACCACGTTCTCCTTGAACCGGCAGAACACCGCGCGGGCCTCGCAGAAGTCGGTGACGCCGTTCATTTTAGGCGCCCAAAGGATGGTCTGCTCGTCCTCCTTGAATCTCCAGGTGACCATGAGCCAGCGCGGTGACTCCGCAATCGGGTAGAGTGCAACGGCGAGGAGTGCCGTGGGCAGCATCAGGAGACCTTGAATCAACACCCAGTGAGCCACCAGCTTGCCGAGAACAAAGGTGGTGATGGGTGCGAGCACGAGCGGAACGGCGATGGCCAGCCTGACGAACAGCACCAAGACAGCACCCGGTGAGATTGTGAGGTCACCTCGAAGAGAACCATGATGATGATCACCTGGAGAAATGGCCCAATCAGGACACTGCCACTGGATTAGAGAGAAACCACTGCTTCCTTGGCGTAGTTGACAGTTACGCCGCAGGCCACCCGAAGAAAGAGTTTATAATCTGTTTTACCTTATGATAAACCACACAGAGGACGTTACCAGCCGTCAAAGCTTAAAGCCGGGGTCACGCTACTTATACGTAAAAAAAACAGTCTACATAAAGCTTCGAACGCGAGTCAGCACGAGATCTGTGCTGCGAATACTGTGTGGAGATGAGTTCAAGGAGGAATTTTGGCACGTGGCATTCGAACCACGGATCTTGCGGTTACTCGTGTTTGCAGACTGTCTTTTGTATGAAGTATGAGTAGTGTGACCTCGGTTTGACACCCCTTGACTGGTTTTTCGTGCAAGCTGCGACTAATCAGACGAAGTACGGAACCCATGCTTTACTTATTAGGAAGCATATCTCAAATTCATTTCGAATGCATTGAAAATTTATTTTTGAGCGTGGAATAAAAAAAAGAAATTTGTACGGAATTAAAATTGCGCACTATATAGATTCCAAATATATTTGAAATACACCTCTTTAGCTAAAACACAGTTTGACAATCCTACGCGAACTTCGAAAACCCATCTCCTTAGCTACCTGGAACGCAGAGACAGCAATCGCTATTTGGCAACGTAGCATGAACATTTCAAAGCTTCGGAAGAAGCAGCTGGCCAGCAAAGACCCCATCTGAACCCTTATGGACATGATGAGGACAGGCCGAAGTCCAAATCTTTTAGCGGCTAACCCCGCCAGAAACAGAGTTATCGCACTGCCGGCGTGGTACGCCATCAACAGCAAGGAGACCATCCATCTTCTGTCGCAGACCATATCGTATTCCGTGGTGATCGTTGTCCCGGAGGTCTCGACGTCGTAGTCCCAACCGTCACACGGTACCTCTGTCCTGTTGTTTGACGGCATGGACAACGGAGGTTCGTAACGCGTGCAGCTGCCCAAGACGTCATCGGCGTCTTTGGGCACACTGATGTTCTTCCATTCGATCACTGACAGATGGGTGTACTCTTCGGGCGGTTTGCACCGGTGGTTCACGTTTTTCGTGAACTCGTAGTGCACCGGGGCGTGAAGAATGGCCACGAAGAGAGAGATTTGGGCACAAAACAACGCTAGCCGCTGAAAGTTTCCGTTGCCGAAGATGAGTACGGAGACCTCCGGCTCCCAGGACAGCAATTTGGGCGTCCTTGCACTTTCCACAGGACCGCTGTTCATCCTTGAGTGAGACGCCGCGAAGTCAAGAAATGGTCGAGGGTAAAGTCTCTGGACAAAGTGTCAGGCCAGGAGTGACCGAACCAATGCACGTGCCACGGCGTGCGTGCTGCTACAGAATCAATGATGGTGATAATGGCGACCGCGGTGAAAGAAGGAAGGTGTTTGAACTAAAGCCCCTTGATGAAAAATGTTGTGTTGTGTGTATGTTAATAGGCAACAGACACTTTCCGAAAGTCGCTCAAGTGAAAGGAGCCGCATAGCTGGTTGGTCCAGCCAGTATTTAGCTTTCACAGTGTTGTCAATGATGAGCAGGGGTGAGGTCTCATTAGAGCGTCCTCTCTGTTTGCGGGGCACAGTTGCGGGGTGAGCGTGTGTAGGCAGAATTAAAAGTCGGTTTCGGGTAAAAAAAAATAATAATAAAGACTTGTTTTGGAGGGACAAGGCGCGGAGGGGTGCGGAGGGAGGAAGGAGGGTAGAGGAGGGAGGGGGGGGGGGAGAAAGCGTGTCGACATATTCACCACGGTCACTGTGTCTATGGTTTCCGCACTCGACACGAACCCAACGCAACGGTTTTATGGTCCATTAGTTTTCTGCTCTTTCGTACGCTCGAAGCAGTCCGTTCGTTTTCCAAAAAGTCGAAGCCTGTTGCCTTTCTGCAGACAGTTGAATCCTCCTAGCTTGGCTGAGCGTACGAACGAGTCAAGAAACGGGCTCTGGTTGGGCTGTCGTGCTTTCCGCGAATTACTTTCCCTCACCAGCACTTTTTTCGCGAATGAACCCCCGTTTTGTGTTACCATGCTAAAAGCGCCAAGACCGTTGCATCGCCCTTCTTCCACTCTATATTTCCTTTTGATGGGACGAAGAATTGTAACGAGTAATTTCAGTAATTTGTTACTGAAGAAGTGATGAGATTAGCTTACAAATTACATTTTCAACAAAATAACGCAATTACTAAATTACTAGAAAAGTAATTGATTACAAGTAATCCCGTTACTTGTAACGGATTACTTCCAAGTCTGGTTGGGAGAACGCGCGAGACACGCGCCACGAGCGAGTCTCTGCCGCTTCCAAATATGGCGACGTGCGCGACCAAAAGCGCCGATGTGGTCGGCTTTCCGCTTTTGACCGGACGACGGTCATAAAAGCATTGCTCGACCTCCAAGTTCGATGGTGTTGAAGAACGCGATTTCTTCTAGATTCCACCGTGCTTTTTACGCCCACTATCAGACGTGTCGTCACAACTGATGATGAGTATCCAGGATCACAACTCGTGACGTCACGACGAGGAAAATCGTGGTCGTGACGTCACGGATGTAAACCGTAAGGGAGCGCCACCGAGACGTCTCGACGCTCGTAGCACTCATTTCAATGCTGAGACGCCATTTGCTTTCAAGGGGCGCACGAGGCACGGTCGTCGTAAACTGGCACATTTGACGCCATACTTGCAAGACAAACTCAAACACATCACGGAAACTAAAGTCCCCTGATAAAGTAATTGTTTTATGTGTATGTTTGGACGGCGTCTGGGTATCCATTGCACATGGCGAATTTAGCCAGTGTACTGCCACTGCAAGTCCGGGGTCTTGAAATGTGTAGCGCGCAGCAGTGATAATCGACCGCACCTCAGTACGATGCTCGTCCAGGCCGAAAGAGGGGTGGGCGAGGACACAACCCAGGTTCCCTGGGGTCTGCAGCGCGAGCACCAGCGGAAAGCTTTGCCAAGATCTGACTCCATGAATATTTTTAACAACAATACAAAGAAACCGCTTTTTTACTCTTTCTTTCATTAATACATGCATGTTACTGAAAACAGGGAATGCGAAAGAACACTTGTTATTCCAAACAAGCTTCGTAATCTACCGCAGCTCGTGTGTTTTGCGTTTCATATCGGAATGCAGGCAGGGCACCTGGCCACCGCTCGCTTGTTTGTTTATTGGAGGAAGCACATAAACATGTGCAAGCCTGATAAAGCTGGGATAATAATGCTTTTAAACGCAAAGGTACAAGCGAGCTGGACAATAATTACGAAAATAATCCCTGGAGATGGAGAACAAGAGGGGCATAGGACAAACACAAATCTCCAAACACAGCTAGGTGACTGGTGCGTGACCGAAAAAATCCACCTGGTCCTGGTATTGAACCAGGGACCTCTCAATTTTCAGTGGAGCGCTCAACCAACTGAGCTAACCAGGACTTAGAAGTCAGTAGGGCAAATGCGTTTTATCAGCTGCCACCAGTCTAACACTATCGTGAGGTTCGTAATGTGGTAAAGAAATGACAGAAGACACGAGGATGCGTTATGGGATAATTCACATTGCACTGTAGAAATATAGAAAAAATTATTTACACAACTATTTACACCACTTCAACAAATGTTAAGGTTCGAGTGTCCCCTAAAAAGTCCCTCGCTCACGACTTTTCAGTCCTTGCGGCGTAGCACCCGCGGCAGCCGATGATCAGGGGTCTACCGAAGTCAGGGCCGAGGTCCGGACGTAGTGACGAGGCAGTTGACTGATGGCCGAAGGCTTGAATCAGGCCCCGTACGCCGGTGGCAGCCTAGCTATGACCAGGTGTCCGCCAAGGTCTGCGCCGAAGGACGTAGCGACGAGGCAGTTGGGCGTTGGCCGAAGGCTTGAGTCAGGCCCAGAACGTCTGTGGCACGGAGTGGCAGCGGGTGTTCAGCTGCGCCACGCAAGCAGTCTTGTCTACCCCCGGAAGGTTGGCGCCCGGACTGCGTGAGAAGCGGGTTGTGGGTCGGGCCTCTTGACGTCTGATCACGCCGACGGAGGTCCGGCCTGGTCGCGTCTGCTCCGTCCTTTGTCAACCGCCCGAAGCCCCTCTCGCACTCTTCGGATGCCCCCAACCTCGTCTTCTTCTTCCTCGTCCTCTTCGGCTGGTCGCGGGATCGCTCATCACAAACACCAACGATGTTGAAGGGTTTGCATTTTAAAGTTATCATGATAGTGCAACTAAAAGCAAGAGTAAAAGCGAGCTGGACATGCATTTTGTCGTCTGATAAAGCTATCTTCCGCGCTCAAAGTTCACTTTCTTGTATGCTATAGCCACCAAAAAATCGGCACTGAGTGAGTGAGTGAGTTTATTGAGCAAAAGAAAAAGGGGGTAATGCGGAACGAGAGGTTAGTCTCCCAATAGCGGGGTCAGCTTTCTCGTTCCGCTTGGGGAAAGGGAAACCAAGAGTGGTTAAGAGGAGGAGGATGGCTGACGCCCGTCAGTACAGCCTAGAGGCGTGTTGAGAGGCCAGTCTCTTGGAGGAAAAGAAGGATGGCTTTGAATGTTTGCACCCTTAGTGCTTGTGGTCCTGCGGGAAAAAGAATACTTCGGGTATCCTGGTTACTGCCGTTCGCAATAGATTTTTTCAGGACGTTTCTTGAATTGGCGTTTTGTGGGCATGTCCAAAAGATGTGGTCCAGATCTTCTCTTTCATCACATGCGGGACAGTTTGGGCTAGACGCTTGTCTCATGAGATGTAGACGAGAGTAGGTGTTTGCACAGTTGACTCGTAGTCTATGTAGCAACGATTGTTGCGGTCTCGGGAATTTGTTTTTAGGAATGGTTGGAGGAGGTAGTCCAGAAGCCGTTCCTGGGTGGGGGTGATTAGTTTGTGCTTCATTATGGATTATGATTCGATAGTTGTTGTATGGATGTATTTCTATTACTTGGGATACATTATTGTGGGCTTCATTTGCAAGGGCATCTGCTCTTTCATTTCCATGTATACCCACATGCGAAGGGATCCACTGAAAGTAGATGATTGATCCTTCTTTAGCCATGTGGTGTACGAGTTGAACAATGGATCTTGCCAAAGGAGTTCCCCTTCTCAAGTTTTGGAGCTGTCGTAAGGCTCCTTTCGAGTCCGTGAAAATAGCCACTTTTTCATTTTCCGAAAGTGTTATTAACTCGGAGAGCGCAAGCCATATCGCAGCAAGTTCTGCTGTGGTCGTGTCGGTACAGTAGCTCAATTTGGCTGTAGAAGATTGATTAGATTCTGGTATGATGTAAGCAGCTGTGGTGGATAAGTCTTTCCTGCTTCCATCGGTATATATGTGCTTCATGTTGCAATAGGACTGGATGACGTCATTTGCGATGTCGCGTGCCACGATATCGGCGACGTGGCCTCGTCGTGGGAGGTCCATGATCTCTGTTGTTATGTGGAGGTGATCGTTCTGCCGGTGTGGAGGGGGGAGGGGAGGGATGTTCTCTGGGTAGCCGACGTGGTCAATGAAGCGTTTCATGGTTTTACCGAGGTAGGAGTGATGGCGTAGCAGTATGCTGTCAATGAGTGTCTCGTATGATGGTACTCTGAGCAGTCTGGCTGCGTGAAGTAGTGTTCTCTCTTGTGATTGTGTTTTTAGTGGAGAGTCACCTGCCTCGACTATAGTGGAGACGTTATGTGACGAGCGTGGCAGTCCGAGACAAATCCTGAGTGCGTTGCGGTGAAATGTCTCGAGAGTTTTCCATTGAGAATCCAGAATCTCCAGCAGAACAGCGTGCACGAATTTTCCGGATTGCGTTAGGATTCCAAATACACCTTGGAATCCTAACGCAATCCGGAAAATTCGTGCACGCTGTTCTGGACCCATCATCTGGTGTGGCGACTTCAACGCAAACCATCCAGCATGGGGAAGCGACAGCACTACGCGACGAGGCACCATACTTTTGGACATCATCGCTGATTTGAACCTCCGCTGCATAAACACCGGAGACCCTACACTAGTACGGCCCAACCTTGAAAAAGCAAGCGTCCTAGACCTCACTTTGGTATCGCCTGAAATAGAGATAGTCTGGAGTCTCGAGCCCGACACATGGGGCTCAGATCATATTCCAATTCACCTCACTCCCCGCTACGGCCTCGCACCAAAACATCGTGTACATACAGTAACGAATTGGGATATGTATCGACAAATACTAGCAAAACTCTTTAAAAGCACTGGCACGGGTAGCATCCCACTGGAAGATGCAATATGTGTAGCTATCTCTAA